AAATTTGCAAACAACATCGCACGACGGTTTGAACAGATCCCAGTGATGACAACTGATGTTGAAACCGAGTTGCAGCTTTTTGAAAGCGGCACACTTGAGACTGTCGCGAATGCTGAAATTTAAACGTGTTGGCCTGCCGCCCGGAGGTCAGAAAAAATATTCCAGTCGGACGAGAGGTACAACTTGCAGTTAAAGAAGAAAGCAGCGTTCAAGAAATGACTTGGTAACAAAGAGCCTTCTACTCCCATGCGGTATATCGAGGCACGCAAGGCAACAGCGAAAGTAGTGGCGAAGGCCAAAGTCAACCAGTGGTGAAAAGAAGGGCAGTCTAAGAGTCTTGAGAGACAGGTCTGGACATCCTCTTACCAAGGATGATGATATTCTTCGGCGATGTAGAGAGTAGTTTCAGGAACTCCTTAATCCTGCCGCAGCCGCATGAAGACCTCGCCTGTAGAGCATCAGGGAAAGTATATTACTATCTCTGTAGATGAAATTGCAAAAGCTGTGAAAAGCTTGAAAAATGGAGAAGCTGCTAGAATTGACTTAATCCGCCCTGAAATGCTCAACGGATTAGGCGAACAAAGCATGTGCTGACTTAACACGTGTCTATCAAACCGATGAATACGGGGAAGACGCCAGTGGACTGGAGAACGGGAGTTATTGTACCCGTATTCAAGAAGGGAAACCACAAGGAATGCTCCAGTTATAGAGGCATTACGTTATTGAGCCTCCTAGGTGTTTACGCAAAGGTGCTAAAAAGGTGCTGCGGAATAATTGACTTTAAGATAGAAGAGCAGTGTGGCTTCCGGCCTGGTCGTAGCACCACATATTTGTCCTGCGCGACATTATTGAGAAATCGTGGGAGTAAGCCCGTCCGGGTACATGTGTTTTGTTGACCTAGAAAAATCCTCTGGCCGGATCCCTTGCTGCGGTCTGTGGTAATGCTTGCGAGCATACGGGATAGATGGTCAGCTGCTGAGGGCCATCCAAACACTGTATTCTGATAACAAGTGCTGCGTCAGTGTAAATGGCGTTAAGTCGAAACCTTTCAACCTTGGCACAGGTCTCCGCCAAGGCTGCGTCCTGTCGCTTTCCTGTTTGTGTTGTACGCTGATAGAATTCAGGAACAACCAAGGCGATGAGTGTATCAGTGCAGGAGATGTGAAGATGAGAAGGTTGCTGTTTTGCAGACTACCTTGTTTTTTTGGCATCTTAATCTGATCTACACTGCTGCCTAGGGAGGTTTACAGCTGAGTGCGCCATGATCGGCATGTGAACGGAACTGAAACGAAAAGTCTAGTACTTTCTCGTATCTTTCCCGCTGTACTCTGCAGAAAAACGGTAAATCAGTGTAGCAGGTGGGGGAGTTCAAGTACCTCACAATCGTGTTTAGGTGGTGGAAAGTTTGAGGAAGAGATCGATCGGCGGGTTGGAGCAGCCCGTGGCATTCTACGTGAACTAGCCCGATCCATTACGACAAAAGCTGAGCTCAGTCTGAAAACTAAGCTCTCGTTGTTCAAGTCGA